CAGACCTCTCCTGTCTCACCTGCTGTTCCCCTCAGCAGTGTATTTCAGTGGATCCACCTGTTCTGCTCCCCACTCTGTCTCTTGTGTATCCTCTCACCCCCCTCAACTCTGGCCTACACCCCAGTTCATGTATGCATAAATAAATAAAACTATGAAAAAATGTTAAATAAAATAAAATACAGCAGATCCTTGAATAACGTTGTTTGGTTATAAAATTTTTAAGAGAAAACACAAACCTGGAAAACATTCACATTATTCAAGGACGTATTTTCCTTAAAACTCACTTAACTAAAAGCTGCAATTTCCCAGAACGTACTGGGGATGTTACATTAGGACTTGCTGTAATGTGGAATTACTGAGAAGTTATACAAGTAGTCGTCAGCAGACTTAGGTTGTCATTAAGTCATCTTACAGACTAGTGACTTTAAAAGTAAATTCGGAAATTATTTGCTTAACAGTAAATCTTAAGATGATGGATAAACAACTATTACAGACAAAAGTGTACCTATGCAAATTGGCGGGAGGGGGACCGAAGACATCTGAAATCATTTGAAAATCACTAATTTCATCCAAATCCCTCATTTTTCAGGTGAGGAAACTGAAGTCCAGAGGGGTTTCTTGAACTGCCCAAGGACACAGCTATTTAGTGATACAGCTGGGATTAATACTGAGGTCCCCTGACTCCTGGTCCAGAGTTCTTTCTACTATACCACAAAGACCATACAAATAAAAGTTGATGATAATTAACTTAAATATCTCCACAATGTGTCATAGTGAACTTTGTTGTGAACATCTGCCTATGCTAAAACTCACAATGTAGGAAAAGAGCTGGGCCCTGGAGTTCAAATACAAGCTCTAACACTTAACACGTGACCTTGGGCAAGTCACATCACCTCCCTGTCTCAGTTCCCTAATTTTAAAATGGAGATTACAAATATTCCTCTCATAGGTCATAAGACAATGTATATAGAGCAATTAGGACCATACTGATATAGGAGTCAGTAATAAAATCTCTACAATATTTTTTAAAATACCAAAAGTATATTTAAGATTTTAAAATTACATATTTGTATAGTATTTTACAATTCACTGTGTATTCACATAAATTATTTCAATTTACTACCCGGTAAACTCAATGACCATACCCTTTTTTCAGCAACTGCTATATACTAATACCAGATAGCACACTATTTTCACATCCATTAACTGTCAGATGTGAGCTGCAGTAATATAATGCAAAAAAACCTAGTAGATCTTTCCCAGAAAGCAAGAGCCTCATCAGTATCACCTATTAAGTGGGAATGACATGTTTGGTTGAGTAAATGAGATAGTGGTTAGTATCTCATTTGATCTCATTGAAAGCATCAAATGCCTAGAAAAAAAGTTGGTTCTACCTTAGCCATTGTATGGAGTCCTGTTGTACAGAGATTATATTGTAACCAAAATCAATAAAGAACCACTACTATGGCTTACAGTGGTACTTGTTAAAGAGAATTATCTTGGGTAATAATACCTATTACACTCTATTTTAGTTTCACAAGCTAAAATATAAAATTTTGGCAGACTTAAGGTGAGTGTTTACTGGAAGTGTTAAGTGGACAAGTTGAGACAAAGGCAATTAAATATTAATATTTGCAAAATAAGACAACAGTTAAGTGTTGTTTTAACAATGTATGTTTATTTTCCTCTGAAGCCTCCAACAATCCTGTGAGGAGGTGAGATGAAATTAGATATTAAAGTTGACACTTGAACAACATCAGTCTGAATTACATATACATAGGTCCACTGATACACGAATTTTTCTCTGTCCTGGGGTTCTGCAGCCATGGATCCAATCAACCACAGATGTTGGTTGAATGAATCTGTAGGGACAAAACTTGTGGACTCGGAGGAACAACTAGGATTATTTTTCGGGGGGTGGTGCCCTTAGCCTCTACATTGTTCAAGGTTAAGTGCAATTCCATTTTACTAATGAGGAAACTCAGGCTCAGAAAAGTTAAATACCTTAACATTTAAAAATAAAAAAAAAAGAAATACAGCAGAAAATGGCTCACTCTAGGTTTTTGGAATTAGTTTTAAGTGCTCCTTCTACCTATACCAAATTGCATCTCAGAATATTAATATATTTTCCAGATCTATTATTCAATAAACTTAAGTATACAGCAGCTAATATTTATTGAATACTTCCTATGCACTGTGCTGCAGCCAACACATCATTTTTAACCCTCAGCAGAGGAGTCAAACCAAGTGTGTTCTAACACTCAATAAAATATTTTATGCACTACTGTATAAATTTAATACAATAATGCATTTGGCCAACTTATTTTTATTATTTAAAAGAACTATATGCAAAAATTCTTCTTTTCCATCCTAATACATAATAAGCAGATTTCTGAATGATTTTACTATTCAACTTCACCATAAAATAAACCAGGTGTTATTTTCAACAAGAATCCACATTCTAAAGATTTGACTAACACGGCCTAACTTTCCTTGTAGTCTCCTGCAAATGATCAAAAGATCATTTTCTATAGGGTAATGAAAATCAAGCTGCCTAAGATTTTTATATATAATTATAAGGGAAAAAGCACATTTTTGAATTGCTAGTGCTTTAAAAGGGCAGGTCACTTAATGGCCTTAGTCTAGATAGCTCATCTATTATTAAAGCACATAAGCAATAACTTTTTCACTGATTTAAAGCAAATGCATTTCTGAGATTGCAACATGTTTAATCTTCCCAATATATCTTTTAAATGTCACTAAAAAAAAATACACGACCATATTACATATTCCCAACCCAGGCATTTTTAAAACAGCTTCCATTAGTAACTATGGTGGGACAAACAAGTTTTAAGCCATGATTGTCCCAGGAAAAGTGGAATATACAGTCAGCCTAAGTAAGAACAACCCATTTTGATAAGTGTACTATGAACTATCTCCATACATCCTTATTTCATAAGCTTGACCTTTTGGTTCCAGACCTCACAATTATCTTCAGCCTTAAGATGGAGGGCACCATTTTACAGATACCAGGCCAGAGTTCAGGATGCTATCTATAAATAAAGGGCTTTTTTAAGGTCTTATCTTTAAATCTAATTTGCTTGAAAAAGAAAAATATCTATTTCAAAAAACATAATCTTGTGTGAAGTATCACCAAATTTTCTTCAAAAAGTGTGAATACCAATAGCCTGAAAACTACTTCCAAAATGACCAAATGCTGAACAGTTACTACTATAACTAATCAAATTGCTTTACTATACCAAAAACATTTTTAAGGCACCATAATTTCAAATGGATAAAGCTTCAGGTATGAGTTTAAAAGTTTTCACTGAAAATTAATCAAAGTGAGAAAAGATAATGAAAATCCAAGATCACGATGCAGTACAATAATGATAAAAGGAAACTCCAATTAGTAGTTATTGCTCTCCAAGTGAATCTGGCATTAGCTGTACAACCTAGAAGTCAAAGAATGCTTTAATTTGTCAAACTGTAAATAACTAACAGACCCATGCTTTGAACTATACCATTTGAATGAAAGGCATTATTTGAATATAATTATGATTCCCTAAGGCAAAAAAAAAAAGTTCCAAGAGTTGGCTTCTGTGACTTAAAACTCAATCAAATCAAAAAACAGAAGGTGTCTCAAAGTCTAGATTCTAGAACTGTTCTGCCCAAAAAAAGTCACTAGAAACATGAGGCTATTTATATTTATCTTAGTTAAATGAAATTTAAAAATTAAGTTCCTCAGTTTCATTAGGTACATTTCAAGCGCGGGAGAGCCACTTGTGCCTAGTAGATATAATAATAGGACAGCAGATTGTGGAACATTTCCATCACGGCATAAAGTTCTATCAAAGGCTGGAACTCTAAATCCAGACTTGGCATGCTCTAGATTTTGGCTTAAAATCCCCAGAGACAAAAATTTGCAAAAAACACAATGAAGGGCATTTCCATTCTTGCAAGCTACTATCAGGAAATTGTTCCTCACATTTAGTCAAACCCAGCCTCTCTGGAACATTCACCAGAAATTCCAAGAGATCTGTTCTCAATTTGCAGAGATAACTGAATCCTACTTCCAATGTTCCTCCCCCACATATACTACAACCCTAAGTCCTCTCTTCCCAGGTAAATGTAAATTAATTTCTTTCGAACTGAATAGTTAACAATTTCTATTAGCCTCATGGGCATATACCAATTTGTTATGCACATGAACATTAACAGCACCTGTCCAGGATCACCTGTGTCAGAAGTCACACTCCTCTGTGCCTAGACATCCACTCTCACTTACCAGATCAAGTGCCTTGATTTTTAATTTAGAAAATGCAACAATCAATCCGACTTTCTTAAAACACGGGAGACCAAAATCAGTTCACATGCACTAAGCAGTGCCTGACATCGCTCTAAGCATTTAACATACTATCTCCTGTAATCCTGGCCATTCGGATCCATGACAGTCCCCATTTTTCAGACCTGAACACCCAGACAAACATACAAATAACTTCCCCAGGGGTCACAAAGGTGGGCTCGAGCCACAGAGAACAGCTCTTTGCCTTTTTCTGGGTGCTGCACCTCTATTAACGCTACCTAACTCTTTCTTCGTGCTGCCTATAAAGCCACAAATTCCTTCTTCAAGGATTCTTCCCTCCAAAACCCTAGTAAAAGACAGAAGGCGCCACTTAACACTCCCCAGCACGCCCGCCCCCGCAGGCGGCCCAGCTCCCCCGGCCCCCCGCCCCCCCCGCTCCCCCGCCCCCCGCCGACGGGGAGGAGCCAAGAGGCAACTCCCCGCGCCGCCGGGAAGCCCGAGCGCCGCGCCGGGCCAGCGCCTCACGCGACCGAGCTCCCGGGTCTCCCCCGCTCACGCCAGTGACGCCCCCGCGGCGCGCGCGGGCGGGGCCGGCGCTGGGGCCCAGGGACGCGGGGCTCGGCTGGCGGCGGCCCTCCGCTGGCCCAGATTCTCCCCCGCCCGCCCCCGCACCGCCCCCCACGCCCCCTACAACCTCTGCTTTAAGAACACTTGTCGGCACGGCTGCGCGTCCCGCGAGGAGAATGTAGGGGCACAGGCGGTGCGGTTGCTGCTGCTGCGGCCCAGGACACACTGGGAAAGGGGCGCGGAGGGGGCCTGAGCGTGTAAAAAGGGGAAAGGTGGCTCGGCTAGGGCGGGGGAGGGGGGCGCAAGATGGCGTGAGCCCGAGTCTGTGGGGCGGAGGTGGCGGAGCCGGAGGAGGGAGCGCGACTGACGCCCCCACCAGCCGCGGCGCGGGCGCGGGCGCATGCGCGCTGCTTCAGGTGGCCCGCGGTCTCCTTTCCCAGGCAAGCCACTTCCGCCACACTCGCCGGGGGCGGGGCGTCTTGAAAGGCACGCGCGTTCACTTTCAGACCGTCGTGTGCGGCTGCCAGGCCCCGGAGCGTGCGGCTGGCCTTAGAGCCGAGGTTGCTGGGAGGAGAGTGGGGATGGACCGAGAACCCAAGCGTGGTTCAAGGCCGGGCTTAGAGTCTTTTAAGACTGGGGCAGGGGGGCCTCCCTGGTGGCGCAAGGGGATAAGCACCGCACTATGAAGCAATCCGCAGCCTCTGCAGCACGAGTTCGATCCCTGGCAGGGAGCTACCCACATGGCGCAGCAGACCTCCCCTGTCTCGCCCACTGCTCCCCTCAGCAGTGTATTTCATCAATCTGCCTGTTCTGCTCACCTCTGTCTCTGGTGAATCCTCTCATCCCCTGCATCACCAGGGAAATTAGTGACTCTCTGAAACCCTGATTTTGTGATTCTCCTCCCATTCTGAGTCTCAACAATATCATTTTTTTCCTCAGTAGTAAATAATTTATTTTAACGTATCCTGGAGTGCTAAACTTTCAAGGGAAGGTTCATGAGAGGACAGATCATGATTACAGTTCTATAAGCTATGCAGTACTGCAATTCTGAACATTTCCTATGTTATCACTTTTTTTCCTTCCCTTTGAAATACATGAATGTAATTGGAAGGTACTGGAAACCAATTTGATTAGATCTTGCATTATTTTATGAATAATTATGAGCATTCCCCTCCAGTGAATCAAGTGATTTGATTAGTATGTGTTGCCCCAGCTTTGTATGCATAAATAAATAAATCTTTAAAAAAAAAAAAAAAAAAAGACTGGAGCAGGGAAGATCAGGATTTTCAAGGGTCTTGCTGACCCACAGTGCAAGTTTGTTTTCTATTTAAGAGCTGAGATTTCAGTTAGAACCTGATCATTTCAATTAAAATTATGTCCAATTGATCCATTAATTCCTTCTTTTGAGGAATTGGGGTGTACTTCATCGTAGCATAATTGCGCTTTTAGAATGATTAAGGGAAACAGATCAGAAAGAACCCCTCCCACAGCGGACACGAATGCAAGGGCATGAATGTGGAGTTCTTTCTGAATCAGAAACGCCCAGCTCAGCCTATCACAACTACCCACCCTGCGAGAGTGTTTCATTTTCCCAAACTCATTTTGCCACATTTAGGCACCCACATTTTTATTATTGAAATCTTTTTCTATTTCAAGTTTGTTTTAACTTATGCTCCCAATTTTTTTTCCTTTAGAATTTTGGCCCATTCACCCTTATTTTAAATTTTTGCACACCCACAATTGAACTGTATATCCTCTCTACACGTTCGATTAACACTAATGTAGTTTTTTGAGTAATGCAGTCATCAAGACAATGATTTCGGCCAGGTATAAACTAGTAAAGTACTGTTCCCAATATTTTTAACATTCTTTTCACCTGCTTTAGAACTTCCTTACTCCCAGGCCCTGTGATGTCAAATATAAACAAACTATTTCATAGGAGATTCAACTACTAACCATAAAGCTTTTTACAGCATTACTGCTTCAATTATTTTCTTGCCTGTATTTGTGTTCCAAAGTAATCATTTCCACCTATTTGCTTATATTATTGAGTGATTTATTATTTCCTCGATATTGTACTTGAGTCTTCTGTTAATTTATATTTAGTTCTCTTTACTCTCCCAACACTTCAAGAGTTGCCAAATACTTAAACTTCCAAAAGAATAATTTTTTAGGAATGTGAAAGCTCATCATAATATGTAAATCATGACTTAATGCTAGGGAAACAGAATTGTCATAACTTCTTATAAAGGAAGACATTAATGCAATAGATGAAAAGTTCTTTCAACATATTACCAAGTAAATAGGAGAAAAGGGATACATCTAAAGAATTATAACCTCATCATTTCAATTAAAATTATGTCCAATTAATGTTGCCACAGAAATCCTTGCAAGGGAGTTTTACCTGCACTACAGGGAGGTCAGATTTAACCTGATTTTTCAGAAAAGAAACCTAGTGGTTTTACTCTCAGACTACTACTATCTAACTTACCACATTTATCAGGAGTTAATGAAAGTGAGTCATGGAGAAAGGAAACTAAGTTAAAGAACTTATCTAGGAAACTTAAACTTTCACTTTTAGGAAATTGTGAATTGTGCTGCTAGCAGAGATCTTGACTTTTAAGTCACAGGAGCTATCCTAGTAACATTACCTCCTGAAATCTATTAACCATGTTTAATTTTTAAATTTAGTCATAATTTTATTTGTAGATTGAGAGTGTTGCTGTTGCTGTACACAGAGGATCAAAAATATTTTCCATTAGATTAATACAAAATATCCTAAACCATCAATGCTAGTAGGGTTTTTAATTATAACAAAGCTAACACAAAGAAGCTATTGATAATCCTACCTCTCAGAAAAATCCGTAATTACAAAGTGGGTGGAAAAAACACATCAGGAGACCAAGTGAATTCATTACCCCACAAAAATGTCTCCATTCCTTGAAAAATGCCATTAAAGGGAAATGACACATTGTTCCTGTAGACATTTGCATTCCTCTGGCATAATAATCTTCATATAGACTCACTGGCACAAAGACAAAATGCACATGTCTAAGTTAAAATGCCTCTTGGCATCTTAAAAAATAACATTGGGTAATAAAAGAAACTCATTCTCCAAGTAGCAGAAGCTACACCTATATGGAACCATCTCTGTAATTAAGTGGTTGCTTCTCATGTGAAGGCCACAGGGACAGCTCACTTCAAGTGACCTACAAATTCTTTCTTACTCTTTTGTGATCTGCGATCCTTAGTTATTAGGATGTTTATGAAGCTTTTTTGTGTTTTTTTTTTTTTGCATAGAAGAACTGGGGTGTAGGTCAGAGGTGCAGGGGATAAGAGGATTCACCAGAGACAGAGTGGGGAGCAGAACAGGCAGATTTACTGAAACACACTGCTAAGGGGAGCAGTAGGTGAGACAGGAGAAGTCTGTTGCATCATATGTGGCTTACTTCCCTGATAAGGGATCAAACTCAAGCCATAGGGGTAATAGCACTGAGACTTCACCCCTAGGCCAGAGCCCCTATGAAGTCTTTTTAAAATATATATACACCAATTATTTTATCCTTTGCTGTGTTTGTCCTAGATTTCTAAAACTTAAGCAATCACCATGGAAACAAGTAGAATTGTATTGGGTTTACAATAATGTATTTTAATCATTGCTATATTCAGTTAATTACCTGATAGTAAGAACTTTATTTCCACTGTAATCACACAAGAACTTTATTTTTATAACAATTTGGTCTGACCAAAAAGATTACTCAGCTCTGTGGTACCAGGTGAATCACTAAACATTAATGGACCTCAGTTTTCACATCTGTATAGTGATATCATAAATACAAATGAGCTGAAACCTTGTAACCTTAAAATTCTGTGCTGCTTTAAAAATAAGACTGACCTAAGGATGTCTCTGAAAGTTGTACACAGCAATTTAGCATTCATATTTGTGCTACTGAAAATTACATAAATATTCATGATTTTGGGCCTCCCGGGTGTCACAGCGGTTAAGCGCTGGGTTGCGAAGCTGCCCGCGGCCTCTGCGGCCCCGGTTCGATCCCGGCTGCTCCCCGGCCACCACAGGAGGGTCCCACATGGCACGCAGACCTCTCCTGCCGCCCGCTGCTCCCCTCAGCAGTGTACTTCGGTCCTTCTGTCTGCTCTGCAACCCGCTCTGGCTCTGGTGAATTCTCTCACCCTCCCGCGCTTCTGACTGTACCCAGTGCATATATAAAACAAAAAACAAACAAACAAATAAAACAGCCTCTATAAAAAAAAAATCATGATTTTTGCTTTGGAGTTGGATGTTCAACCTATGTTAGACTTTTCACAAGAAAGACCAACATCAAAAAACATATACTAATCAAATCACTTGATTCACTGGAGGGGAATGCTCATAATTATTCATAAAATAATGCAAGATCTAATCAAATTGGTTTCCAATAACTTCCAATTACATTCATGTTTTCAAAGGGAAGGAAAAAAAGTGATGACATAAGAAATGTTCAGAATTGCAGTACTGCATAGCTTATAGAACTGTAATCATGATCTGTCCTCTCATGAACCTTCCCTGTAGGTTTAGCACTCCAGGATACTTTAAAATAAGTTTTTATTACTGAGGAAAAAATGATTATATTGTTGAGACTCAGAATGGGAGGAGAATCAGAAAATCAGGGTTTCAGAGAGTCACTAATTTCTCTGGACAGATGAAAACAGCCATTTCTGTTCCCATGGTATAGGAAATATATCTGATATATAATAAATATATCTTATAATGGAAACAAACAACTTCTACATTTCTCCACTTGAAGATAAGTTCTATTCATTAAGCATAAGCGATAGGCATTACTTATTTCTTTCACTCACCATATATAAATATATGTATGTATGTATGTATTTATGTATGTATATAGTGGGCCTACCATGTTCCTGACTATTCCAGGAGATGTAGATAAACCATTGAGCAAAACCGACAAAAATCCATACCATCATCAAACACACGTCCTAGGAATAGAAGTTAGACAATAAACAAATTAAATACCTGACTTATATAACATAAGGACATGAGTGTTGGGGGTGGGGAGAGGCAGGGATTATACAACAGGAAAGGAATAAGGAATGAGGCAAAGCACAGGAAGGATGGGAGAGTTGTAATTTTTCAATTAGGCAAGCAAGGTAGGCCTCACTGAGAAAGTGACATTTAAATGACAACTTGAAGAAAGTAAGAAGACAGCTAAAGGAGTAAGGAGGTAGCCAAAGAAACTGCTGACAGTGAGAACAACCCCCTCCAGAACCCTGAAGTGGGAGTAATCCTACAGGGACAAGCAGGAGGCCATTTTAGCCAAAGATAAGTGACAAAAAAAGATAATAACAC